CAATAGAATGTGTCAATAACAAATGTCAGTAAGAGTTTTAAATAATAAAGTATCCAGTAAAAGAAAGTTACTGAAGATTTGTGAACCAAAACTGAAATTTTTTTTGGCCTTCTAACAGAACAGAAGTGCCTCTGCATTAGTAAAGATGTGCAGAGATAGGACTAGTTAAGGTGTGGAATACCTGAAGGTCAGATTTTGAGATGCAGTATTTACATCTAGCTCCTTTTAACAACAATCAGAAATGGAGATGGTTCAGCACATCCTAGGATTTTTCAAGGGCAGGCCTGGTAGTAGCATTTTTAGATTTTAATGCTTCAGGCAAAATCTTTATTTTACATCGAGAAATGCATCTGCAATAATTTAACTGTAGTATAATCAACAAACAATTATACAGACAGGCTGTTGGTTGTGTGCTTGTCTATGTTTGCACAGAATTGCTGTGTAATTCACATGCACACAGAGTTCAAATCTCAAATTACAACAGCGTATTGACCACTATGTTTACATTTTTAATACAATACATCCTTCCAACGTTACTTCAACGTGCAGAATTTTCAAACTACCATGTGAAAAACATTTCTGAAAGACTGGCATAATAAAGCACTCTCTCCAATTCCAGAGGAAGTCATCTTGCCTACAGAGTTTTAAAAAATAGAGAAAACTGCCAAGATTTGGCAATTTCAAAATTACCATGGACTTTCACAAATACTGTTCAAAACCTTTTTCTCAGGTAACAATATTTAAAAAAGGAAAATTGCTGGTATTTTATCACAGTCTCCACAAGATCTCTAGAAAAAAATCTGGGAAGAAACACTTGCAGTAGCATATTTAGTGTGCCTTTCACCCAACTTTATATACATGTTGGAGTATCCATACACAGCTTTACAGCATCACTCAGTTCTCTATGATAATGCTCAGTCTCCCATAGTGAAATTATGCAAATTTCAGTGGGAAAAAAACCCTCAAACCATAAATATTATAATTTTATATTTTTAAAATAAAATCTCACTTTAGTTTAGAACTTTGATAGCGTATCCCAGTGCTTTCAGATTAATCACAGAATCATAGTTGCATATTGGCTGTATTTATGTACAACCAAAAGCCTATGGTATTTGTACATCCACAACTCTATACCTTTGTAACTGAGAAAAGACTAAACAGACAAGACATAGCAAATTAGGTACTGAAAACCTAAATACTTAATTTTCAATATTTTAACTTTTGTATTTCATAACATCCATTATACGGATGGTCACTAAATAAATCTGAATTTTCATGACAATATTTAGAGAGTTTATGGGAAATTTCAGTTTGCTACAGATAAAATTAATACATAGCCTTAATGAACATACTATACACAAGGGTCTTTTTTTCTTAATTTGCACAAAATAAGAGCAAAAGTCAATGTAATTTTAAAGATGAATATGTATTTTTTCATACCAATAAATAATGTTATAAATCCTGCTGCACTGGATTGCAAATAACTTCAGCTGAATAAAACTGCATGACATGGGATCTACTTATCCGGTATGTTCACAGAAACAACTTGTTCTCTGACAGCACTCATTCTTGGCAATTTATTGCAGCTGTCAGCAGCCAATTTGTTCAGATTACTGCTACGCACAAAGGTGTAACAATCATGAGGATTTATTAACTGATTATCGTAAAGGCGACAGTCAGAATCGCCTTAACACAAATGATAAGGAATTTAAATAATTACATGACAATTAAAATCACTTCACCTTCATTTTGATCTTAATATTACCTACACAACCTTACTGCAGTGTATGTTTTTAATCATAGGAGCATATTGACTTGATACAGAACATAAATTACTTGTTCATAGCAAAAAGATGTGAATATTAAATGTACTCAGACTGTACAATATATATACACATACATATGTATTTCTACTTACCAGTTGAAACAACAAGTAATACTGTTTATGCAAGTCTACACGCTTATTTGAATGTTGTGTGGCTTTAGTTCCTGGTGCTTTCCATAAAAAGAACTTCTCGACCTCATGTACTTGGTCCTGGAATGCTCGTTGTTTTTTAAAAAAATTATATTCAGAAGAATGCCAGTATTTCGCTTCTGTAACATGAAGCTCAGTTGTGACAAGACCAATGTGTTCTCATACAAATCAGCACATGATTGGAAATATATTTTCCTCAAGGCTTTTGAATGAGGTCTTTTCTCAGGATTTTGAAATCTCGAAATAAACACTGAATTGGTTCCAGGGTCTGGGGATTTTTTTAGAATATTCTAAGATGGAAGTTCACAAGGTGCTACAGCCTTTGAACTCCCATGGAGAATGCACACAGCTGAAACTCAAATGAATTTTATAAACCTGTAGTGCTCCAAGTTAAGAATGGAAATCAACCCGTTAGCATTCCATTTCAGGAACCGCCATTTTGAACGTGCGTTGGCATCAAGATGAAGACAGAGTTTTATGCTACTTATGCGACAGACGTTCTCTTCTCCTTTTCTCAACTAGGATGAAATGCCATTACTTCCACCCTCTTAACATCTTCCTCCCTCTTACAAGCCACCCCTTCCACTTCTGTCCTCCTGTTACGTCACCCCAAAACCAGAATCTCAATTCCATGTCTTCAGCCTTCTTGAACATTTTTCCTGCATCTTCTCACCCTCAGAAATGTATAGCAAACCCAAGCCCTCGCAATCTGAGCACACATGCTGTTGCCACTGTGTCACAATCCCAGCTTTCATCTGGTCCTTACCATGCTCTAGCCTAACAAGTACAACGATATACAAGGCCCACAGATGTCTATTTCCCTGACTCCCTACTTCTTCTATTTCACAAAAGTGCAGCTGAAACGGTATTATTCCAGGAGAGTTTATGGCATTCTTATTTGGAATAGAATTTGCAGGTAACTGAGCTCAGTAGAGTAAAAACACAGGTCTCCTGGGCTATTTTCCTGAAGATCCTGGAATTTGGCCCTTCAACCTTCCACCTGGGAAACCTTTTCTTCTGTTTTCTCAATTTGGTTTGTTCTTTCCCTCAATGAATAGGATCTATTCAATCAAATGTGCCTTTTCCCTAACTATTCTTTGGCCAGGCAGGACATCTTCAAGAAACAATTGTTTTCATTTGCATTTAATAGAAATATTCTTATATAATATTACAGCTGCTGCATGCACATTATTCAAGCAAGCAGGTGAAAGGAATTACCCTCCATTCTTGACCAATGCTAGAATGCTACCATGAAGTCTTTTGTTTCCCTCCCACAGCCTCATTATCACTTCTTCTGGAATGTGAATTAAAATATACATGTGCCTTGAGAGCCATAGAGCCTTAGTTATGGAGCACAACTCAGCCATGCTTTTAAAAATTAACCTACACTCACCATAACACACGCACACAAAGAGCAAGTCATAATGTGTGCACCAAGGTATTTCCAGTTTTTCAAGGCAGCCTTTAAAAGAGAAACTGGGAAAGAGAAGTCAGTGTTAAGTGGAGCTGTCAGGTGTTGGTGATTTTTATCCACAATGACCAGAAAAGAATATCAGGGAGGGGAAATATTAAGACCTATTTTTGTATTCAGACTGAGCTTGACAAATGACGGTTTTCAATGGAAATCTTCATGGGAAGGAATTTGTTTGCAGGTTGCATTATCCAGAGATAAGGTACCAACAGAAGGTGAAATGAGAGAGTATCTGAAAGGACAAGCTTAAGAGGGACTATACATACACTGACAGAGAGGTTACAAAAATCAAGAGCAGCAAGATTTCAGCAAGTACGGCTTGGATGATGATGTTATGAAAAATCACACATGAAAGCTTCACCATCTTTCAGATAAGAGGGTAAAATAATGAAGAAAATAGGAATAATTTCCCAAGGTATATAATATGTCAACATAGGACTAAATGATTACACTAGTTCAGAAAAACAGTTACTGCTACCATATATGTCATGGCGTTTCATCATATAAAATAAAATCCTACTGTGTGTATTTTTGAAAAGTGCTTTTGTCGATATTAAAGTTGTTTGCTTGCCACAGACTCTGTACATATTTTGAGTTTGCAGAATTTATAGTAAGAAGTAAACACAGAATATTATTCAGCTCACCTAATTTGATAAAGAAAGCCATTACCTTAAATGGAACATGAGGGAGGAAAAGGTCAGTAGAAACATTGCCATACTGACAACAAAAATACATGGTTTGGTCTGTGGGATTTCCATTCCTGATTTTAATCACCAAAAAAAAAGTATTCTTGCTAGTTAACACTACCAATGCCCTAGTGAAAGCACCTACAACCAATACTCTTACAAACAACCAAAATATCTAGGATTAATAATTATTAATCCTATTATAATGACTGTATGATATCAACGAAAGTATGATGTAAAAAACATCTGAGCTTTCCAAATAGCAGCTACTTCATAGAATCTAAAAGCTCAAACAGTTTTTTCCCAATTAGCTACCAGTTAATGCCACTTCCTACTCTTTGAAATGGAGCATAGCCACACAAATACATACTATTTCTTGAACTCTAAGACAAATTCACTTTTCCTGAATATAAATTAGGTGAATGATCTTATTTATTTGCCCCAAAAGATATGTGCAGTCTTTCAATACTCTATTTTCATTTACCAAATGGATTGATACATAAATTTGGTCTTATGCATCTATTACAAGTCAAAAGAGTTATTTCTCCTCCAAACTGTATGTTGCTGTATGGAACCTCCTGCATCTTGGTAATTGCGCTACACGGGGGATTTTTATTTTTGAAAACCTCAATCTATTAATTGGTAAAAGCTGCCATCTACTGGTCAGTAAAAATTATTTTACATCATCAAAGTAAAGAATTACATCAATGCAGCAAACTGTACTGGGATATTGCAGAAAATTCTCCCCGAACTTTAAAAAAAACAAACCACACAACAAAAGCAAGACCAAATGGTCATAAGAAATAGTTTCAACAGCAAGGCTCATTTTAATGAGCCCAGGGAACAAGAAGGCTGGAATTGCACAAACCTGCCAATAAAATCATCCTTTTTGCCAGCATCTTTGTCCCACACTGTAATATCAATAATTCCACCTCGTTCTTCATAGAGATGAAAGTCAAACTGCTCCCTCCACTGAGGATTCAAAGTTTTTGGCACAATCTGAAAGGAGATCAAAAAAGAAAGTCATATTGCATAGTGTAGGCACACACTTTCTTGAACTGTAAATTTCATCTTTAGACTCTGTTCAGGAAGTTTTTTTCTGTCTGCAGTATCAGTATCTCAAGCAGGGAGAATTAAAAAATAGTATAATTAGGAAAAGACTACTGGCCAGTGCTCTCATGCCTCTCTGACTTAACAGCAACCTCCAAAATCCTGCAACCTGTCCACCTTCAAAAGCCTCCTGAACAAACGATTTGCCCTGGGAATGGAGCCATTTCTCTGTAGAATAATTATGTCCTCTCTTAAGTGACAGTTAGCTGTAAAGTTGTGTCCCTGAGCCCAAAAGAAAACAAAGCACTTGCAATGACAAGTAGATGGTGACTGTACTTAAACAAACAATTTTATCACGTCCTTTTACCCTAGCTCCAGTAATACTGGGAGAACTACAATACTATGGTTTACTTTGTATGGAATAAATTTTTTTTTTCCAAAACTGTATTTTACTTCCTTTCATTTAAAACCCAGATGAAAGCAGCTTTCTCAATCATTTTCAGTCTGGTTACTTCTGACTTCAATGGATTTCAGTCCATGTACTTCTGACCACACTGCGCAGAACGAAAAGCTTACAGATTTTTCTATCAAAATGCAAAAACAGTATTCACAGTAGTCACACATGTCCTGAGCAAGAAACAGCCTAGTACCTTCCCTATTAAGGAAACACTACTTCTTACACCCACCAGTTCTACTGGCTTGAAAATTCATAGAGGATTATGAAAATTTTTTATTCACAAAAGCATGAAATTTGATTTCTTCTAATTTCAGATTAAGAGGCACTAATGCAGGCTCAGAGCTCTGCAAATACAGCAACTAAATGTTCCTGGCTTCTTCTTCAATTTCTCCCTCGTCTGGCTGTGAAAACCACAGCGGTCATCATTGCCGTTGAGAGAGGAAGGTCATGGTGGTCCAAGCATCTTCCATAAACAGCAATTTTCAAAAAAGGAAGGGACCAGGGGAATAAAAAAAATAATAGCAAGAAAGCCAAGAAAGTTTCCACATTAATTGTCTCCCTGATCAATCCTCTCTACCTGTGAAGTTCATACATAAAGAAAACTTTAATGAAACTTGCTGTAAGGACACAAAGAGAAAAGTGAGAATATAAGCATGACATGATTTGAGGATAAGACAATGCAAAGGATCCAAGAAGCAACCAGCATCAAGCCTGGAAAGTAGTTGTCACAATCACTCTGCATCTCTCCCCTCTCATGAATGACTCCTGCAAGAAATAAAAGCCAACACAGTCTGTACAGAATATCAGGTGTGCCCTTTGGTACACCCAAATTTTTCAGTGCTACATTTTCCCCCATCTAGTATTACTTTTGTTTATAATGAAATAAAAAGAAACATCCAAACAAAGCTCCAGGTGCTCTGGCAACTGATTATTACAGTGATATATCTCCATCACTACTAAGAGTCATACAAGGTAAAAAACCCCAAACAGGAATGAAGCATTTCAAAAACATTTTCAGTCACAGCTAAAATTACCTTGCTTTTGTACTTCTGATGCCCCATTCGGAACTTCACATACGGATCACTTAGTCCATTTGCATCCATCGCCTTAAGTTCACGACCTTCTATTAAGGTAACACTAACTATCCCTCTCCATAGCTGAGACTTTCTGTGCAGGTCTGAGAGACGTAAGCTCTGGGTCTGAAACTTCAGGGAAACAAAAGCATAAATTTAGTTTACACAATTCCAAAAATTTCCCCTGCTTTTCAATGTTCAATTTCACATAACCAGGAATTTAAAACAACCACTTTAAGCCATTTTGAAGTTACTGTATAATACATATGCAAACAATACTGCATAGAATAACTTGGAAAGAAATAAAACAGTGACAATTAAGCAGATAATGTCATATAATGCTTTAAAGGAAGAAGAAAGAAGAACAAATGCTACTTAAGGAAATGTGTATTAAAACAAAAAGGTGTTTTTTCTGCTTCACTTCTCCCTCTGCTGATAAGAATACAAATAAATGTTGCAAAGTCTCTTCTGTTAGTAGTATATGACTGAATAAACTTGAAGAAACATTAAAATAAACGGAAAAAAACAGTGACAATACAAAACTTCCATTGGAATAATATAAACTCCTGTATCTCAGCCTATAAAATGACATGGTGTTCTCAGAAACACTCATTAAATACCACCATAAGTTCAAGAGTTTCTAAACAATGTTGCAGAACCTTTGTTCAGAATCGTGCAGAAACTTGCAGACTGCAAACCCTTGGCCACAGATTTTGTGGGTTAAAAGAAAATTCACACACAAAACAGTTGGCTCATTTCGTTAATGAACTCCACTGGGAGTTGGGTGAGCAAGAGGCTATAAACTCAAGTAATTTAAGATCATCTCCAGTTTGCTCTGACCTACGAGGTATCAGAACTGGGGAATCACCTGTGCACTCCTAAAGAAGGCAAACGTGTCTTGAGTGCACCTGAGAAGCAATGTTGCCAAAGGCTCTCCCTTCTATTCTGAAATTTTATTTGTTCAAGGTTACTTTATCTATAATCAGAACACTGGATAGCTAAACAATATTTAAACTCGCAAATTATTCTTTCTAGGAATCAAAAAAAAGATAATCTTTATATATACGCTAGTGTAAATATATCAAATATATGCATTTTCTTCATTTTGCAATGTAGTTTGGGCAACAAAAGCTTTATGAGCTCAGCAATCATGCCTGCATGGCTAGCTTCATCATTTCCAGACCTCCAGTATCCCTGGAGGAGGTTTTCAGTGCAAATCTGGTTTGAGTCTTTTAGACGGTAAACACAGCTGGATGGTTACAGCTGTGCAGGTGTCCCTGGCAGAATTTTACATTATTACCCAGAGACAATGATAAAAATTAGACTGGAGAACAATCCCTGGATTATAACCTGCACTCACCAGAGACAAGTATTATACATGAGGACTGAGGCCACTGGGGTTGGACCAAATCTGATTAACATGCTTTTTGCAGCATTTCAGATATTTTATTGGCATGTATTTATGTTTTCTAATGGTTATTCATCCCAAATAGCACGGTTAATCACAAAATATTTCACTATATTTATTAAAGATTTCTCTTCCTGAAGTGAAAGATTTGACTGCAGAGAAACTTCTCACAAACCTACTGTTTCTACAAAGGCAAATAAGGAATAACGTTTGGAAAAACCTTTAACTTAACATGTGACAGCAGTGGGACATCAGAAAGCAGACACTCTACAAAAATTAGTGCACAATTGGGAAAATCACTTGCCAGAGAAGATACTTCATTTACAGCTTGGGAACACAACGTAAACTAAAACTTTTTCTTGGCACAAATACCCCTTTCATTGGGGGAATACAGTCAACATTGCCAAAGACCTGACTTGAGAAGAAGTGGTAGATTTTTTAATTCTTGTTCCAGTTTCTTAGAAGGCTTAGAGCAAAAGAAATACTGGAGAGTAAATAATCATTGACTCTACCCTGAACATAAGGTGATGAGAGTACAGAAAGAAGAAAAGACCATGCATGTTTAGGAAGATATTTATATTGGGACAGATGCAGTGATTGAGACTTACTTTGCAAAAAACCACACAACTTTTGAGAGTTGAGTGGGCATCCACATGATTTTGAGGATACTATCATGGAAAATAAGCTTGAGTTTGCATTCACAACTCTTTTGACGTAAACCTTAAGCACCACAGCATCGCTGCCTACTTCACTGATCGCCAATGAGACACTGAATAATTTAGAGAGTATATCTGATCTGAATTCCATATTTTCAACAGCTCTTAAAATAATTTGCTGCATTAGAGCACCTGCCACCTTATACAGCATGCTGGATTTTTATGACCAGTAGGATGTTTCATAACCAGTAGGGGGTAATTTACAAAAAGGTGGCAAGGCAAGATCTAAATGGTCAAGAGCTGGAGCTAAAATGACAGACAGGTAAGACAGGAGTTTACAAGAGTCAGGCAGGAGCCCTGAGAACAACCATTCACATGCTGCTGGAGGAAGCCCTCCTGAGTCAAAGACACATTCTGTGGTCAACAGCGATCAAAGCACCTTGCACAGCCCAGTACTGTCCACTGACAGTGAAGCTGCAGAGCCTATGTCTCAACATGCTGGAAAAAAAGTAGCAGCTACTAAAAGAGGTATGGGTTGGTTGTGACTGTAGACCACAACAGTGCTCTTTTCTTTTTTATCAGTAACACACAGATCCAAGGCACAGCAAAAGGGAGATGTACTGGAAGTCAGGGTACAGCTTGCATGAGCTAAAGCTATTGAGATTTCCTGGACATGAAAGGCATGGGCTATGTGGCCTTCTCCAGCAAGAATAATTTCCAGCTGGCACTTTTCTTGTTTCCAAGCAAGACTGAAGAGCATCCAACATGCTTTCCTTCCAGTCAAAGTCCCATTTATCCTCAGAAATTACATATCCTAACATAACCTCTCATTTCATATAATGGTTCTTGTAGGAAGTTAAAATGAAAAAAAAAGAATTTTTAGATTTCAAGTCAAATTTTACAAAAAAGCTAAGAGATGAAAAAATGAAAAAGCAAGACTGATTTCACCTTTTAGAGTTCTTCCCTTATGAATTTAATGCCACAGTGTGAGACAGGTACATTTCTAGGTACATTTTTAGGTAGCTAAGAAACTGCCTGTAAAATCCAGCCCAAAGTGAGTTCACTACAAAGTCAGAAGGGAAACCATGAGAATAAAACAAAGAAATGAGTCTGTATCTTTCTCAATTTCTCCTGTGAAGGATGTTTCTCAAGAGTAATTCTTAGGTAACTTTTTTCCCCTCAGCAAGCATGTCATGATTATTGCTGCCTGGATTCACTCTTCTGCCACAAACAGAAAAAAAGTCAAGAAGAAACCACACAACCTTTCATTTCGCTGTAAACAGGTAGGAAGCTACATATTTCATATATAATGCCAAAATATGAAAAGAAGCAAAGTCAAAATCTCAGTCCATAATCAACTGTCATTAATGTGGGATTATTATTCACATTATTCACATTTTTGAGAATTTATATGCAGGATACAGGCATGGCAACTCCTGTCTGACATGTTCTAAACACACCAAAGAGAGAGGCGTGGTGGGAAACTTGCAGCCTGCATGCAGTGAGGCTTTCACTCTCCCAAAAAGGAAATTAAAATTTGACTTCTGAAAAGGAATCTTTCACATCAAAGGATGCGTACAGCTACCTGTGAAAGAAAAACCCACATATTTTCATATCCACACACTGTGCTTTAATGCTTCTACTATAAAGAGCACGCAAAGCCAGCATCTTCTGATGTGATAAACTTAGCTTTTATTTGTGTTCCACTTATTCTGTCTAAATGTAGAGCAGTGGGTGGGCTAGGGGCATTAATAGCAGAAAATCTTCTGATACAGAACTGTATCCTCTACCAGATAGGTTTCATATAGTTAGCCAAATGTCAGAGCTGAAAGATAACCTTATAACATGACTCAATGTTTTGCATGTATTCAGGTAAATCTGGGTAACATTACTGGGTGGGAAACCAACTAGGCTTAGTCAGAATCCAGGCGTTTACCTCAGGTTCACCAAGACATTCTCAATGAGTTAGTGTTACTTTCATCAAAAGAAGAGATGCATTTAGTAGGTGGTTTTCAAAATCCCCTAAATATTTACATTTATCTTTGGGTATCTAAGTGACCTTTGGAATTTGAGCCCATACTGAGTTGGAGAAACCCCATGCGCTGTCCTCTCCCAGCACGACCTCACTTCTTCATTGATCAGCCCTCATGCCCTGCAAAGTACCACCTAACTCACTGGCATGTGCTTGTGCCCATGCAAACAGACCCTGCCTTTACAAAAATCTCCTCCTTGGTACACACACCACTAGGGTACGCTGCTCTTCTGTGTCCTTGAACACAACAGATGGAAATAGAAGTGTGCCTACCACAAACTTACTAAAAAGTTTTAAAAACCAAATCAATAATGCAGCTTTCTGTCCTGCAATGGCATCTCTATCCAAAAAATAACTTTGGATTGGAAGCTTTATATAAAATATCAATCAAGAAACTAGTGAAAGAACATAAAAAAGAACAATACTTCTCTCCATCACTGAACAGAGGATAGGTGTACAAATACAACAAAGTGAATCAAAGCCAGTGTTACAAATGACTGCTGCAAATTCAAGCAAACAGAATTCTTCTCCCCCAGTTTCTAGGAGGCTTATATGACTTGGATAAAACATGTAAAATAAAGATTGAGAATATCAATAGATACAGCAGTTAGTTCTATGTACCACACGATGAAAAAACCAAGGGACAGTCACATGCATTTGCAATGGTTTTCCTATATTAGACACTACATACAAAGTATGACACCTTGCAGAAGTCATCAACATACAGACACTGAGTTACAAAAATGCCATCAGTGGGATCATGATGACTCCTTCTTAATGTTTCTCATTGTGACTAAACTGGTTTTGTAAATTGATTGCTACTGATAATGACTGCAAAACGAAAAAACACTTCTCTTAATTTTCTATCAACTAAGTTTAACATTTTAGGATATTTTAACCGTAAGTGAAGCTTATAAAAATTTTTGTAGTTGTGAAATTTACACTGTCCTGTGCCCTGTGTATTTTCATTATAATTGCCATGTTAAATCTGGTTTATGGTGTTTGCTCTAACAACTGGATACTGCCATTGTAGAGTAATGTTGTCATGACAGTACAGTAACAAGAGCTCACACTTTTGCAGCATTTCGTATATTTTTGGGGGGGTTTTAAGTGGAATAATTTGGCTTAAGTCCACTTTCCAGAGGCAGCTCAGGTGTAGTATGAAGGAGGTTGTGGCACTCACTCTGACCTGCATTTTCTGTGAAAGAGTGGAAATACTTATAGAGGTAAACAGTGTGCAGAAGGAGCTGCCAGAGAGGCTGTGCCAGTACAGTCCTAACCTTCTCCACTGTCCTTCTCCCAGCAATTCCTCTTGGAAACTGTGCCTGCAATATGTGAAAGTCAATGGGTCTCCTGATGATCCTGTTACTGCCCTGGACAACCAGCGTCACCGAGTCCCAGTGCTGATGTGAATGTAATACACAGAAGGACAGTGGTCACCAATACTTTATGGAAACTCCCTGTCCTTTTGTAATTTCTGGAATGAACCCAGAAACCCCCATGCCAAAGTGTTACTATGCTGATTTTGTTGTTAACTAGGTCAGCTGTTATCACTCACATACAATTAATGCAAATGTAAACCTCACCAAATATTTGCATAATTTTTATAATCACATGTCTAGCAGACAGGTGTACCTATTCTGACTTTTCTACTTCTATTCCAATATATAGTAGCGCTTCCTTCAAGTACCATTTACAGCTGATAAACTGACATCTAGAACCTCATGGCTTACAAAAAACAAGTATATTTTCTCAGTTTTAAAAGATTCTTCACAAAAACCCAAATGCAGGAATTCTACCATCTATTCTGAAATTCCGGAGAATTTTGGCTGAAAGATTCTGGTTGAAAGATTGAACTGACTGTAAATTACTTCAATTAAGAAATATCATACAACTCTATGCTTATGTTTGTCTCTGCAATACTTATACCATGATTTGCTATTTACAGTTTTATTCTCTTCTCAAGAGACATCTAATTTCAGTGGAGAAGCATTTAGTTTCAATTTTAAAACAGTAAAAATTGCTTCATAAGGCTTTTGGTATTAAGAAAATGTAAATCAGGAGCCACAAAAAACAAATATTTTGAGTCGGGCATAAAAGCATCGGTTATTAAGGCCATAGGTCTTGGTATTTAGTCTGTGCAACTAGAACACAGATATTTTCAGAAAAGCTTTCTAAAAGAAATTTTTTAAACAGTCAGCAGTTAGGAGCTGAAAGCCATACATTTTGCAATTTATTCTTCCTTAAAATGTTCATACATTCTATTTTTCGGTTTAAAAGTATATGCAAAAATTTCTAAAGCTGAATTAAAGCAAATATAGTTATCTAAATGCAAATTAAAAATCAATTTTATTCACTTGCTTTAGGCGGTAAATGCATGCTTTTATCCCCAATTGTAACTAATCAGAAGTAGCTTCTCAGTTGTGACTAAGGGGTGCCCATGTGAACATCAAGAAGTTCAACAAGGCTAAATGGAAAGTCTTGCACCTGGGTCAAGGTAAACCCAAGTACAAATTCAGACTGGGCAGAGAATAGATTGTGAGCAGTCTTGAGGAGAAGGACTTGGTGGTGTTGGTAGATAAGAAGCCCAACATGACCTCGTGATATGTTGCTGCAGCCCAGAAAGTCAACTGTGTCCTGAGTTGCATCAAGAGAAGTGTGGCCAGTAGGTTGAGGGAGGTGATTCTCCCCCTTTACTCTGCTCTGGTGAGACTTCACCTGGAGTATCAGCTCGGAGGCCGATTTGCAAGAATGCTACTACTGAATGAAAAGAAATTAAATGAATGTAACAAAGGAGAACAGGAATAAATAATTCACTTGAGAAGCTCTGAAGAATTCCCAATTATCATGTTGTGCCATTCATTCAGGATTACTGAAGCTCATAGTTTCGCCAATTTGTAATTTGAAGTATGAGAACAAACATATATTTAGCACATCAAGAGTTAACATATCACTTTCATGATGCAAAACAGTTCTACCTTCACCATTCTCACAGCTCCTCCTTATCTCTCCAGGAGTTTGAGCACCTTAGATATTTCATGAAGTTATATGAACCATATGAGAATCAAAATACTATACATCATCACTTCACGAAATATCTTTGCTTCTGAAATTTCAAAAAGGAAACAGAGATAAGAGTATTGTCCTGCATCCAGAAGCAAACTGTGAAAAACCCATCCATTACTGAAGAATTATGAACACTGCTCTTTTTATTATTTAAAGATTAAAAAGTGTGCAAATATTTGTCAAGTGAGCAGCATATACAACATCGTTTGTTAACAACCTTCTATTTAAATTTGTGCATCAATATGCTAGAAAAGCAAATAACTTTACAAAATAAGTCAATCATTCCACATAGCTATTTCACTTTTTTTTCACATTTTAACACCTTTACATGGTAACATCTCAAAAAAACCCAGATCTACCACACCAACTCGAGATTTCAAGAAATTTCAATTGTATTTTTATCAATACAAATAGTAAGAAGGCTTAAAACTTTTAAACAGAATGGTAGCATTAGGTAAGACTGGCCAGAAAACTACTAAGAAACTATATACATTTTCTTTATCTCTTTGGAGACACATACAGCAAAAAAGAAAGGTAAAAACTGTTTGTATTCCACTATAGTAAAACTCTCAGCATTTCTCCTGTGAAAAAGAGCATACACTGCTCCTTTTTTATCAGTTCCCAAGAGGGGAAAAGCCAGATACTGAATTTGCTTGAAGAGGCATCTAAAGAGCTCTATAAACTGGACACCAAGAATGATTCCTTAAGCATTCTGCTCTTTTAAAACATGGCTATGACTGTCACCTATGGATGACTAGCATCACTGTGAAAAAAGCATACAAAACCTCTAATGAGTAAGTAATAAGAAAATGAAAGTTATCCTTTTGCATGAATTCCTTGTTCCCATTAACAAAGGAAATTGTTTATACATGGGAAATAAAGATTTTACAAAAGGAATCAGGACATGTCGGCCATTACCAGATGACTTCAAGATAGGTTAAAATGCTGTAACTAAGTTGACAGGTTTCATGATTACATTAAAAAAACTGTTTCATGATTTTGATTTGATGAAACAAAAAACAAGGTCATTAAAACACATTTTGAAGGACAATGAATTCCGTGTCAGAAGTTTACAGTCCTAGATGTCATGTTTGGTAAAACATCATAGTTGTTCCAAAAAAAACCCCACAAAAAACCAAAAACAAACATCCAGAAGACCACATGTTAAAAATAAGTTACCTTACTTGATCTTTTCCAACTCTTCCTCATTAGCATTGTCTGAAAATAAAATAAAGCATTTTAATTACCTTTCCTCTGCAATACAGAAAAGGAGGCCAACTGTCTCCAACAGGACAATTCACATTTAACCACCACTAAAACTGAAACAGCAACATGTACAATTCAGCAACAGATACCCAAGCCTGAAACAAATCCAGGCAAGTAGCAGCCCTTTGCACACTCAGGCACACTTTTCTGGGTGGTCTGAAAGTCTCATTTCTGGAGACAATGCATTATATGAACTTGTAAGAAAGAAAGACAGAAAAACAAAATTAGATAAGCAAATGGGAAAAAATGAATGTGCCATTACTGACAGTGATTACAATTCTGACTGATACTTGAATAGTAGTTTTTTTAATAATAAGGTTCTCCATTTTTTTGGAATGCTACTGTTTAACTCGTAAGTGTAGCCACATCATAGAAATCCCGCATAAGGGTCCTCTGATAACATGAATCTATTACAAAATCCTTAAAGTTACCACTGTTAGTTCATTTCACAGCAGCAAAAATATGTCTTTAGTTTGGTAATTACGCACATCAGGGAGAAAACAAAGTTATACCTTCACTCAAAAAATCCCAAATCTCAGTTGCCCTGTCTCATTACCTAAATAACCTGTAAAACCTTGGCACTACTAAACACCATGCTCTGACATGCTGAGAGGCAAAGTGTCCACAGACAGATTCTAAATCATTAAATAAAGGAGACACACTGGTCAAGTAGATTGAGGACAATTTATCTGTGAACACAACTGTTGCTTAAGCAGCTCTGTGGAAGTGCAGAAAAATTACTTTATACAATTTAATAACATCTAGTAGCCTGATATTGACACTGAGAAAGAATAAATCAAAGAACATTAATTCCTTTTGAAACTTTGTCATGAAAAATAAATATGTTTCTTTTTATTAACTATTGCAAAATCACCTGTTTTTCAGATAATGGAAATAAATTTTAAAATACAAACATTTTCCTCGCTAATAAATTAAATTAATCATGGGGAAAAATTAAAATGAGAAAAAATATGTAGGATTTATATGTTTGAAATATCCAGAAATTTTTCAAATAGACACAGCTTTTTGGGAGAAGAAAAACAACAAGCTGCTGAGGACGCTTTTTAAGTTGCTATGGACAGTTAAAACCCAAGGGCTGTGCTGTAAGTTCATGATAATTGTAGCACTGTGGCTTTGGAAAATATCCACAAATACTAAAAGCTTTATAAAGCTGGAGAAAACCCTTGAATTCATTTTTACAGAAGCACACAAGAATTAAGCAGCTTGAGGCCCATAGAAGGCTCTGTCTCTGAGTTCCTGGGTCCTGTCCAGCACAACATAGCTTCTCTCTTCCTCGTAATTTCTGAATCCTATACAGCTACAAGTCAGAGCACAAACTCAGTTTCACTAGGCTTCAGACCAGGCTGTGAGCAAGGAAGAGAATATGGTCCAACAGCTGAATTGACTATGTAGGTTTAGCTTAGATACTAGGAAATAATTCTTCACCACGAGGGTGGTGAGGCACTGGAACAGGTTGCCCAGAGAAGCTGTGGCTGCCCCATCCTGGCAAGTGTTCAAGGCCAGGTTGGATGCGGTCCTGATCAACCTGGTCTAGTAGAAGAGGCTGGAACTAGATGATCTTTAAGGTCTCTTCCAAACCAAACAACTCTATGATTCTATGATTCTTTCAACTCTGAGGAGTTCAGTTTGAGTTGTAGCTACAGAAACATATGCCATATTTGCTGAGTACACTGGTATCATTACCAGCTAGAGCAAGATAAGCTGAAGCCATGGCAGTCACCCTTAGAAGCCAGTAAAATAAATATATAGCATAGGACAGATCAGGATGAATGATCTACGTGCAACTTTTTAATCTGAAAATATTCCATGCCCTGAGTCTATCTCTGCCTTTTTTTTCCTATTATATTATTATCCCTCTGGCAAATAAAACAAACAAACAAACAAATAAATAGTAATAGTGTATTATAAGATTTAATACAGCAAACAAACTGACAGTATATTAATGTTGTTAATATTTTCATATGAAGTAAAAAACCTAAGCATCATTAAGATAGATAATTTTAGGAAAAAAACAATGCCTTGAACTTTAATCTCATTAAATAACAACATCCAAATTCCGCTTGGTTTCCTTTTTTCCATTTTCTATGCCTCTTAGGCTGCCAGCAGTGAACAGTTGTCCTCAATCTCTGCTGGTCCCAAGACAACAGTTCTCATCAAGCTACCAACTTTGTCATTTCCTGTAGCTGGAAATTGCCTGTAAGACCCATGTAGGAAACAGCTATTGTAGTGAAGACCTGGGTGACATGCAGCTCTGAAGAAGTCACAGTCACTGGAAGCTCTCCAGTGGTGAAATCTGTGCACTGAATGCTGGTGGAGAAAGAGAGAAAAACTCACATGCACTGTGGTACCCACAACTACAACACCAAACAGAATTTGCAAGAAGCCTGTACACATGCATGTAGTTACAAACAGCACACCGGCATGCGCTGCACTACATGTATCTAAAGCGAATACTAATAGAACACTGTCAGATTAAAGAAACAAAACAAGCTTGTTTGGAGCAGGTCCAAGAAAAAACTGAGTAACTTCTGGTTCTGACTTCTTTTAAACTGGTCATCAAAAGGAGAAATTCAGAAGGTTATCAAAAGAAGAAATGCAGAAAGTCACCAAAAGGAAAAATAGAGAAAGTACATCATAAACACGCTATTTTTATAAATAGAGTTAAATTAATGAATTTTTAGAGTTCATATATTTTAACATTTTTATATATACATACTTTTCCCATATTTATTTATTTTACATCTTTTTAGTTTACAGTAGTTACCTAAGTTATCTGTCCTCTCAAGGCAATAAAATTAAAATGCTGCATTAATGTACTGTTAACAGCACAGAGCAAATGCAAATGAATTATTGTAACTAGTGTTATGGTAACTTAATTGTGTTAGGCTGGAAATGGACACAAATATTAAAAACTTTCTAATTTTTACTGTCCTATAAGAATAATTCATTAATCAAATTTATTCACAATTTATGATTGTTCAAAAATCAGAACTAATCCAATTGCCTTCATTTGTCAAAAATCAAAAGAATAGGACTTCTAATAACTTCAGAAATGCTATGTTTTTATTTATGTACATAGTTCAAATAAGAAGTTACAAGATTATTACTTCAAATGTTCACATTTTTATGTCTTTAGAACAAGCACAAGGTAGAAAAAGGCAAGGATATTCAGAGACAAGATTTGCTAGAAATTTTGATTTGTTCACCTGCCCATACTCTTACATTAATATTTAATAACTGCAGGCTACTTCTGCATTTTCTTCACATAAAATGTACCACAAAATCTAATATTGTGTTCTTACTTATGAAACTAGTATATTAAATTTCCTTTAATTGAAATTATGTCCAGTATTCTCCTACTGGAAAAACACAATCATAAACTACTTAAGCACTGTTTTTCACAGTCCATCAGATTCCAAAATAAATACTCTCCTTTCGTAGTCAGTGTAATACAATTTTACATACAGTTATATGAACATATGTATATGTTACCATTCTTAATTGATATCTGAATCCAAAAATGTAATGTTTTGATCTGAGGAAATGCGACCTTCCAGCTATAATTCCCAAGATCACCTTATCAGTCGGTACGTAGAAAATCTGAATTTCATCAGAATTTTTTTCCAGAAAGATAAGGAAGAAAATGTTCCTCTGTGGATCAAATCTCTCATCTCTTTTCACATCTCAAGGTTTCACTCAAAACAAAATAATCTATTACTCTGTCAAACTGACTGCTTATTTTTAAAATCATTTGCAATAATACCTCTCTCACAGACAGGTGGCAATATACAAGGCCCCCCATTTTGTCTCATTTAAGTTCAAACTTCCACTTGGAGTACCTTATCCTCCATCAGCATCAATATTTCTTATGCAGTGTGACAAGATGCATCCTCCTGTAACACACAGCTACATTATTTTGAAATGTCAATATAGCACTTTGCTACAGGACCTGTCCTCCAGCCACACAAACACAGCCTCAAAAAACTTTTCCTTTACCTGCACATCAATGTATGACCTCCAAAACAGCCTCACTGCAGTTCAGGCAGTGAAAGGATCTCTTTGGAAAGTATCATCCACATCACACTACCAAAGGAGACATCACAAACATCATCTTGTTCAAGAGGTCTCGATTTGAAATACGGCTATAGACCTGCCCAAAATACAGGATATGTGGCTTCTATGGCTACATGGGAAAGCTAATACTTCTTCTGTTGAAGCTATTACTTTTTTTTTTATTTCCCAATGGTCTTAATAACACTCTCATTTAAAATATATGGAATTATAGTACCTTCAATATAAGTACTTGCAGTAAACTTCTGAAATCTTCAGCTCTATGATTTAACCACTCTAAACCACTTATGTGTGACAACATGTAAATGGTGTAAAAAAAAAAAAATTATCTTAATTACTTAATGACTTGCAACTCTTAGTTGCAAGGAATTCACAAGTTATCACCAGAGCAAAATAAAACCTATTCAGAAGAAACTGTATTTTTGAAATGTAAGCTATATAGGGATATCAAACAAACAGGTTTTAAGACGATTTGAAATTACTTAGGAAAAAAATGTACATAATGTGAAGAGACAGCATGGCTTCTGTGCAGCAGTCATTAAAGCATATTTAAAGGTGTTCACAGGTTTTTATCTGTACGTTTCAACCACACTTGAATTATTACTTAAATAGAGATATCCAAGTAGAGGGGGAGCAGCAATCATTCAAACAGCATGAGAACGTAGGAAATGCTTTAATTGCTACTTTATATGGTGCACATTTCGAGAGTGGACAAGAATTAGTCTTGATCTTTTAACAACATTTGAAAATGTATTGATCTCAATCATATTGATTTCAATAAAAATTATCCTCAAAACCTTTCAAAAATAACCAAAGACAACAGTTTAACTGGAATGATACACTTTGCAATATATCTACTCCTTGGAGTAAAAAAAAAATCTAACAAATAAATAACTGCTACATATGGATACTGAGTAAAAGATATTTGAGTCTTTAATTATGAAACCGTTAACACATTCATATACAGTAATTCAATATTAATTTTGAAAGTTATTTTGCTCACACTGTGATACAAATTCTCTGAATTTACTGCAACTTTGCCAGAACTGGTCTGAGATCTGTATCTTGGAAAGACTGGTTCCTAACAGTAAGTATTAAGATTCAGATTAGGAACCAGATTCTTAATTGGAATCTTTGACATTTTCAGAATGAAGTCCCATTTAACAGTTTGAATGGGAAGAAAATTTTTTCACTTGAACTAAACTAAAAAAAGTGAACAATGAAACGCGTGATAGCTCAAACCCAGTTCTTCCTCCTATTACAACCAATCAGCTGGATACGAAAAAAGTTGCTACCCAGCAAGTCTGTGGTACTCCCAATACTTCTGACATTCAGTTGCTAAATCACCAACACCCCTATGAAAGACAAGCTACACTGTAGTGTCTTAATTTCACTTTCTCACCTGTAATTTTCTTCAGCGCACTCTCTATAAGAGCTGACAACACGGAGCAGCACAGTACTATCCTCTCTATATGATGAAAAAAGGAAACTAACATGCTGAACACATATGATGTCCCACATAAAAATACAGTATTTCTGTGCTACATGATTTAGGATCATGGCAGGATAGTGCCAAAACCACTTGGAAAAACAGTGCAATTACCATATGACTCAGAAACCCTGGTCTTACCTAAATGTACCAAAAAAAATCCAAAATGAAATAAATTTTTTCATTTAAGTAACAAACACTCTTGTGGTGCAAATCTGCAAGACAGAATTCTAAATTGTCTGGACAAACAAAAAAAGTAAAATACACTGTTTAAATAAGCTAGATTCACATTACTACCATATTCCATTATTTCTATTAAGTGCTAACAAAATGTTATGAGGCAAATTAACAGAGAAGAAACCCATTTTCAAAACTCTACATCATCTCGGTTATACCAAATACCAAACATCTAGTTCCAGTAACTGACTTACTACGCTACTTAATGTTACCTGGGAGAAAAGTGGAAAAAGAACTATTACAATCTGCCAGTAGTCCTCAGGTATGCAAGATGACTCACACTGCAGCATGTAGAAACATAAATGTTCTTACAAAAACCATGTAGTTGATCGTATCCATGGAAAATTTAATCAGACTAATGCTTTTTCCTTGGCCTCTGTTGCAACCCACTTCTGAGGCAGGGTAACCTTGGGGGAGGATGCTAAAATGATGCTAAATAACCAATATGACAACAAATTTAATTAAAACGTGCTTTAAAACCAAAACTGGAGAAAAAAGGTAATGGATTGGAAAAGGGGTGCATAGCTCTTCTGGAGTGCATGATCGTCTTAGGGGAGGAAAATTGGAAAGACAAAAATAGAGAAAAAGAGATAGGAGAAAAGAGAGAAAGATATCACCGCCTGTGGCTCCAGCCACGCATGGGTGATCATGGTCTGTGGTCACGATACATAGTCCTGGTCCATCAGAGGTGGGGGCCTGTAAACAGGTCAAAAATTGGGAGTTTATCCAGTAATACCCCAATCTCTCCTCCTGGATGAGTTCCAGGCATGTGCAGTCTTCTTTCCAGAAGATTCTGGAAGTCTGGTGGTGTTGGGGGTCAGGGTGGGGTTCATGGTGTATGTCTATGTGTCTGAGTGCCTGGGCAAAGTTTCTGAACAAAGTTTCTCAGTGGCTGCACAGTGGTGGCTGCTGATATGGCAAAGAGACTGGCATTAAAAAAAACCCGCTATCATGCCTCTACAGGATCTATTGCTTAACAGCAATTTCTTCTTTAATTTGAAAACAGTTTGTTTAAGGCAAAATTTAGCTGCAAGGTCCATGTGGTTCACTGCAGCCTCTTTGAAGCCAGAGGAATCAATATTATTTTACAACCTCTGAGACATCATCTCTTCTATTTCTGCCACAGTTATACTACCCAAGTCTAAAGTCAACACACAAAAAGCTAGTAAAATATATCCAACTAGAGACAGAGTTTGTCACAACGAGGACAACCTAGAAAACTGGAAAATAGTTTCACTTACAACTAAGCAACTCAGAAAACTAAGACTGATGAAGGAACTACAATAAACCTACAAAATCACACCATTTCATAATTGAAATGTAAAAATGAAATTAAAAAACATCAAATAATACTTTAACATTAGATGTCAAAAAGCAGAAACACTACCTTTTTTCAGCTTTATTTTCAGCATGGAATAGGAATCAAATATTCTTACCTAGAGACAGTAGCACTAGGTTAAAAATTCTTAACCAGTGGTTTACTGATGTTTCTCCATATTAATCAGCACCATTCACCTGTAACTGACTTTATCTGAAATTTATGTTCCATCTGGATTCCTCCTTACTATCTCAGGAAGGATCCAACTCAGATGAAGCACGCTGTACTGTACCAGAAACACCGTTCAGTGTTATTTTAAGAATTAGAAAAATCAAATTAATCTCAGAATTTGAGGTTTACTCTTGTGCTCTAAGTCATCCAACCACAGAACAGTCACAGGAGCGATCACACTTATTAAAACATTAAAATTACCGGTTCTCGCTGTTCTCCTGGAGCCAACAGAACCGACAAGAATATACTTCCCAGATCATGGTCAGGGTAATGAGGATCCTTCAGTCTCAAGGTAACATCTGTCTGCCTAGGAGACAAAAAAGTACACATTTATTTTGATTTCCATTATTTTGATATATTATGGCTATATTTCACAGATAATGAAATTTCTGAATTATGAGAATTAAAGGTATCTCCATTTATAAGAAATCACTTAAAAACAGTGTCGCAAATTTGCCCTATTTCTACTTTAAAGTATTTCTGTCTAAATGTTCATAAAAAAATACTAAATGCTTTTACTTGTTAAGTACTTACATGTACTGAAGAAATTAAATCGGAACTTTAACATTAATGGATTAAAAACCAGAAAAAAAGAAAGTCAAATAGCAGGTGGTTATGCTGTGAATGAAGACAGCATAAAACCAAGATTAAAGTGGTTATAAAACTAACTGCTCCACAGACACTAAAAAAAGTTGTTCATAATCAGCTAATATATAAGCATTCAGAATAAAGTACTTTCCTAACCATACGTGGTTTTCCTTGGTTAGTTTAGTAGGTTTATACAGAAACCCTGAGATTAGCTCAGTTATTTAGAGCATGGTGCTAACACCACCGAGGTTGTGTGTTCCATCCCCATATGGGCCATTCACTTAACAGTTGGACTCAATGGTCCTTGCGGGTCCCTTCCAAACCAGAATATTCTCTGGTATAATTATTTTCTAGCATAAAGTGCTATTTGCAATTCCACAAACATGATATTAGCAGACAGCCATATAGAAATATTCTGTAGGTTTATTTGTGCCATACCTGTTTAATTCCAATGAAGTGAGATCCAAAAATGCTGAACCAATGAAGTCATCTTGAAGTCCGAAGTCATAGTCAAATACCTAAGACGCACAGGAGCATTTTTTAGTACTAGAAATCTACTTTGTTTTGAGCTTTTCTGACTTTATGAATGGTTCTTGAAACTCCTTTTCCAGAGTTACAGCTTCATGTTTCTCACCTGTTACACCAGGACTACCTGAAAGCAACCTGAAACTTTCTGGCCAGAAATCAAGCTTGAAACTGCTTGTTTAAAAGTCAGATTGCATAACATAGAGACACGTAGTGGTGTATGCTACTATTAGACTACATATGTGAACAACATCAATTTTATAAAAGAAAAAAGCATTCTGATAAACACTGGCACTGAAAGAACGAAGATCAAAAGAATACCTAAAGTTAAGCAGAATCATTGATTTGCTATACATTGATTCCTTTATCAATTCTGCAAAATGGAAGGAGGAGGGCAGGATATGGTTATGAAAAGTGGGTTATTACAGCACTTGCATCAGTATTAGGAATAATAGAATTGTACATTTTGAAGGTTGTATAATTTTCTAGGGTTAGAAATATTACAATCTAAGATTAAAACTTAATGGATACGTGTAAGGAAACAATGACATTTAATAATCTACTATGAGAACCCTGCCTGCTAATTTCCTACCTAAAGAGAGAGCACCTGGACAAATTTACTGATATCCAGACAGGAATCTGTGCCCAATACATTGAATAGTACAAGCTGAGATGGGTTATGCCTTTCTAAGTCAGAAGAAAGAACAACAAATAAACTGGAGGCAGATTTGCAGGGAAATAAACAAAAAAGGCAACAAAAAAAATTGTGACACAAAAAAAATAAGGGAAAGTGTCAATTATCAAAATCAACTTTCAAGGTAAATTAAATTTTTTTTGGTAAGCATTGTCATGAGGATTTCTGAGGACCAGAATATACTTTCAGCTAAGTAAAAGTACAACTTGTGAACATCTTGTAAGGAAACCCTTTAACTGAGATATGACAGGACTAAGTTCAAGTTCTTCAATTTTAATGCAAATATTTCAACTATTGTATTACACTAACTCTTTTCCAGGAGGCAAAGAGGTCCATCTTCCACAAATACCGTAATATGGACAGCGTTAAGACAGCAGTAACAGAAATCCTATGGCCCAAAGGCTACAACACTGTTGCAGGACTCAAAGGGTTTGAATCCAAGTAAGTATGTGAGCACAAGCCCCTCACATGCCATCACCATGAAAGACAGTTTACTTTCGCGCTCTTTCTGCTAAGATCACACTAAAGAAATACAAAACAATGATGACCTCAAATAAACAAAAATATTTGTGGTATTTATCACTTTTTAAAATGTTGATATCATCATTCTACAGACATAATTTAAATAATAGTCTTTAGTAACGCACTATTGTACAATAAACTTTTCAGTATACAAAAATCACAAAATTAAACTCTTTCAATAACTCTTCTGTTGTAATTTGTCCAACATATGTAAGATAGTGTCCTACCTTTATATACAATGGTTCTCTTAGGTTATCTATAAGAATGCAAGCTTTTTCTTCCCACACAGGATTGAGGTTCTTGTGTACTGTTTTACTTCTAAATACTTCTTTTCCTCCAAGTTTGAACTTGACATATGGATCACTGGTTCCTGTTAAAGACACATATAGTATTAATTATATCTTTGTAATACAGTAAGGGAATGGAGACTAAATTACTTCAAACAGAATTAAAAGTAATTTCTATAGACAATCAAACTGAAAACAGCATCAGATGAAAGAATTTTTTATTGTCACAATCTATTATTTTCCAAGATGTCATTACTCAGGTAATTGACCCTGTTAATATCAAGTGCTTGCATCACTTTCTGTTGTTTGCAATCCATTCTCAAAGTCATACATGAAATACAGGCTACTGCAGTGTTGGTTTTACTTTAACAAAACTATATCTTTCTTAAGGCTAGGATATTATCTTAATGCAAACACAAAAATTAGATTATATAGTTAAAATTACTCCTGTAAAACATTAATCTAATTATCTTGTGCCTTTCAAAAGGTACACAGTCAACAGACACCACTAGTATAACTTTTCATTGACTTTACTGTGTCCAGGCTTTCCTCTTCCATAAAGATTCATTTCCTACAACACTCACAACAAGAAAACTCTAAAGTCAGTCCATAAAGTTCACAACATGCTTCTTTGCAGCAATCACCTACTCACCAGAGAGCACAGGCCTAAGCCCCCTGATACAACCAAGTAGCAATTAACTGTGACCAGAAAGACAACTCTGAAGTGTACTGAAAGAAAAATGTTAAATATGGCATTGTCATGGTTTGAGATAGTCCCAAAATCCAATTCCCTAGCTCCATCCCCCCTCCCACATCTCAACCTAATGTGAGATGGGTTTTTCCAGACAAAAACACAACCAGACTCAGAATGGGGGAAAGGAAATATATTACAATGACTGTACAAATAAATACTATAACACATTATACACACGATCACAACTATCTCTACCATGACATATAGTATTTACAATGGATCAGATCTCTTCTCCCCTCCAAATAAAAGTCCAGGAGGGAAAGAAGGACAGATCCCCTTCCAGTCCCTCAGGGCAGCAGCTTCTTCTAAGGCAGCAGGTTCTCCTCATCTCATGCATGCAGCAGTAACTGGATTGTTGTAGCTGGATCTCTGTTCAGTACACACAAGGGGGTCTCCAAGCCCCTCGGCTCTCCTTCCGTCCAAGCGAAGGCCTCACCTGTGGGCTGCCAGCAGGGACCAGACTCGCGTCACCACAGGTATATCACGAAATGCAGGGGCATCTTCGTTAAAGTCCCTTCCTCAGGGGATTGAAATTCCCCTTTGCAGAGCTCCGTGCTCTGTCTCAAGGCTGCTAACTTAGCAGCAGCACCAAGGGGGGCCAAGGTCAACCCCCCCGCATTCCTTCTCCGTCCCGGTCCAGCTTCAGGACGCCTTTGAGCTTCTCAGCTCCTCTCTGCAGTGCATGCTGCACTTCAAGGCTCTTTCAAGCAAGAGTCCATCATCTTCCTCCTTTCCAGGAGGTCTCAAAGGAGTTTGGGGGGTCTAATATCAGTTCTTACCCCCAGAACTCCGTAGTTCTGCTGCTACCTTCTGCTGCTTCCTCCGGTTCAGTTCTTATCTGTCCTGGTTCTTAGCCATAACCTCTGGACGCTGCCGCCGCTTCTGCTCTGTCTCTGCTCACTCAAGATGGAAAAACATCTCCCAGCTCACAGCTACAGACACATAGTCTAGCTTCACACTGTTCCAAGTGTCTGTAGCCCCCAACTGGGGCTGGGGGGCCCCAGAGGCCCCGAGGGGCTCCGGGCCCCTTTTCCTCGAAGCTCCTACAACATGGCTACTTTTTCTACCAACCCAAAACTACCACCCTTCTCTTCCAGTGCTTGTGATATGTTTACATTTCTGCAGGAGCGCTCATTGGACAGAACTTCAAAACTTCCAGGGGTTTCCACCCCTGGGGGTTACCACTTTTCTTAGCCTCCGGGGGAAAACAAGGTTCAAACCACTACAGGCATGAACAGAGAATACATGGAACTTGGACGTGGTGTCACAGGGAACAATTGGTGAAAGGAGGACTTTTGGGTGGGCATCGAGAATAGTAGTAATCCAAGAGCACATTTGAGACTAACCAATCAAAGACTATTTTAAAATAAACACTAGCATGAATAACAGTTGCATCTTCATGAACAGCAGTAAAATTACAAGATGAGACTTTTTTTTTTACTATTAAGGCTTTTCACAAGCCTGACATATTTTAGAAGTTTGCATTTCCATCTACTGGGAAATACAGTCATTCACGTTTCTTAAAATTGAAACACATTCTTCTAAACATAAATTAGGAGGGTATGACTCGAGCTTTTTGCATTATTTCATCCAGCCAGAAGATGTCAGTATTCTTTACCTAAAGTTTTATCTCCCTTTCAGAAAGCTATAGAGGGGGAACCCAGGGTCTCATACGTGACAGGGTTACAGTCATTTCCATCTATAATTACTGGGGCACAATTCAGTGGCATAAAAATGTTTTGTCTAGCACAACTAACTTGTTCCTTGGTTATTCAAGTAGTGGTGGTGATTTTGAAGGTAAAGATCAGGTATTTTAATTAATTCTGTGTAACATGAAGAATATTTTGAATATAGACACCATGGGGTGGTGCACCCATCCCGCTGCTCCTCGGGACCACTCTACAACCTCAGGAATCCTGTTAGGCCTTGGCCTTTGTGTAAAGAGTTTGGTAGTGAAGCATCCCTTGACTGTACCAGGAATTTTTGCATGACTAAGGTGGGAGAGGGCAAAATCAGTCATCCCCTGACAGCCTGCAACACCTAAAAAGGCAGAAGAGGATATTAGCCTGTGAGTTGGAAGGATTGAATGAGAGGTCTTTACACTAGGTTTGAAGGGGGAAGGGGATAAGACTGGGCTCACTAGACATGAGCCTGGAGGCAGTATGCCAGCGTTGGGGGTGAAATCAACAGCCCAGCTGAAGTGTGTCTATATCAATTATACCAACGCACACAATAAGGGTAACAAACAGAAGGAGCTGGAAGCCATTGTGCAGCAGGAAGCTATGCCATAGTGACCATCACAGAAACATGGTGAAATGACTGCATAACTGGAGTGCAGTGGATGGTCAGGAGCTCTTCAGAAGGGACAGGTGAGGAAGGAGAGGCAGTGAGGGGGCTCTCTACATTAAGGGAGTGTTTTGACTGTATAGAGCTCGAGGATAGTGACGATAAGATTGAGTGCCTATGGGTAAGAATCAGGGGGAAGGTTAACAAGGCATTCTGGTGGGATTGTTACAGATCACCCAATCAGGTTGAAGAGGCAGATAACATGTTCTAAGTGGCTGGCTGACATTTCATGATCACCAGATCTTGTTCTTGTGGGAGACTTTAACTTGACAGTTGTCTGCTGAAAACACAGCAGAGAGAAAGCAGTCTAGGAAATTCCTGGAGCGTGTGGAAGATAACTTCCTGTTGCAGCTGGTAAGTGAGGCTACCAGGGTAGTACCCCAGTAGACCTGCTGTTTATGAAGAGAGAAGGGCTGTGGCAGATGTGGCGGTCAGAAGCCATCTTGGGCATAATGATCATGAAATTATATTTTTTACATACTTTAAGAAGGAAATCTTAAAGATGCAGGAGTAAGATGTCCCTATGTGCTGAAAGATGATAAACTGTTAGCTGAACAGTATTCAACAGTGAACACAGGGGAGCTTGAGACTGCTCTGCTATAACTTGTGCTAGTGAGATGGAAAGGACAATGCGAAAGCCTTCATATTCCTCTACAGTATTTCTGCCCTTCACTCCATGTAACAAAGTCAAACTACTGTTGGAATGATAAAGCTTTTCTGATATATGGTTTTAATATACAGTTTTAATTAAACTTTTAATTAGCTGTTTTAATTAATCCTAAGTTGTATTAGGCCTCATATCATTTTTAGCCAGCATATAGCAAAAATTGTTATAAGCTACTTTTGTGAGAACATAGTTTGGGAAAAGTACTAAAACTGTAAGTTTTGTTAAACTAACTTGGATGCGCTTCAGTGAACAAAGCTCGAGAGAGAAAGATGTATTGTTGGACATGTGGAATGAACCACCAAGGACATTTTGCAGAAACCAGCAGATAAAGAAAAGAATTAACAAAAAATTCAGTATATGTGCTGGAAGGTTCCTACTGGAGGAAAAAAAAAACTAAACAGACTAAAGATGTGGACTTAATTAGCATAGAAAGCAAGAAATTAATAACCAATAGAGGGTAGAATAGTAACTAATGAAAGATAATTATGTAACTAAGAACCACTGAATAATAATTTATTTGTCAAAAATATATAAATAGGTGGAAAAGTAATGTATTGGCGTCCGTATGGAGGCAGGATTTTTGTTGGCCACATACACACCCGATGCTGCAAATAAAGTAATGTCTTGCCTTCTGACACTAAAAAGACAGTGCTTGAGGGTTCTATTATTCCCCTACAATTTTGGAGGTATTTGGCAACAATTTCTAGTGACTCCACTGAGACAAAGCTTTTCACTTGGAAAAATGGGGAGACCTCAGAGGAAAGAGAGGAAGGGAGAAAGAATGCATACTCAAGGGATCCAGCAGGGGACAGTAGATGATCATTTTCCATTCACTAACTTGGCAGAATCTTAAAAATGAAGTTTAAAGGAAGCTACTAATCAGTTATTAGAGATCACATATATGTGGAATGAAAGACACTATTCCAAAGGCAATTATGCTATTAAAATTATATTAGATAAAGCACAAAGGGGAGGCATCTCCAGCTGACACCTAGACACTGAGGAATGAACCGCTGATTTTAAACAGGGCGGTTTATTTTGTTCTCAATACATGCAAAAGGGCTCTGAGCCAAAATATTGTAAATGCCACCGTGCAACTGGGAAAGCAAAACTTTGCCATTTTTTCCAACCTTTAAAAATTTCATATAGGTAAACAGTGGTTAACACATCAATTTCTATATATTGGGCCTGAATGCCCAATGGTTTTGTTAGGAAGAGATAATATTTGAAAATGAACAAACACAAGTATCTAATTTTTTATAATGAAATGGCGTTGGCCCAGGATTTTATGTTGTTACAACAACCAAACACAACAAAGGAAATCCCAGAAGAGGTGGAAAAAGCTGTTACTCCATTGGTGTGGGCCTCTGGAATTCCCGGGAAATCAAAAGCAGCAGAGTCAGTGAGAATACAGCTGAAACCAGACATCAGACTGGTATGGCAGAAACAATATCCTTTGCAATTAGAAGCTAGACAAGAATCAGAGGAATTAATTACTAAATGTGTGCAAAAAAGGATACTAAGAGAATGTGAGTCAAAATATAATACTCCCATCTTACTAGTAAAAAGCCACATACTAATGAACACAGACTAGTACAAGAGCTATTAATAATACAAGTGCAATACACCTACCTGGTAGTAGCAAATCCTTATACACTTCTAACCACAATTAAGGTATCTGATGAGTGTTTCACTGGTTTAGATCTTAAGGATGCTTTCTTCCACACACCCTTTGCAACTGTAAGTCAATCTCTGTTTGCTTTGAATGGGAAAGTCACTAGACAAGATGTAAAACCCAATCAACATGGACTGTCCCCCCACAAGAGTTCAAAAATAACCCCACTTTGTTTGGGAATTAACTGGCAAAATAATTGGAAATATGGAAAAAGGAAAACGAAAAAATCACATTGGCTACAGCATGTAGATGATATACTGATAGCCACAGAAGCCCAAACCAGATGTACTGAAATGACTGTAAGTTTACTAAACTTTTTGGGACAAACTGGTTACAGGTATCCAAGGAGAAGGCCCAAATTGCCAGACATATCTGGGATTCACCATTTCTAAGAGACTGCAAAGCCTCAGAATTTAAACAACAGAGACGATTTGCCAAACTCCAGAGCCAAGGTCTGTATGTGAATTAAGAATATTTTTAGGAATAGTTGATTGGTATCAGCCACGGATTCCTAGTTATGGACTTCTGGTAAGAGTTTTATATGAGGCCTCAAGAAACCCTAAAGAGATACTACAGTGGACTCCAGAATGTCAGATGACTTACAAAGTGCTCTAATGTCAGCCACTGCATTAGGATTACCTGACTTGGCCAAACCTTTTGAACTGTTTGTGCATAAATGCTTACACTTTGCATTAGGAGTGCTAGCTCAGAGACTGGGGGCATGAAAAACGGCTGTGGGATATTTTTCCAAGCAATTGAACAATGTAAGAGAGGGATAGCCCACCTGTCTTCCAGCTGGAGCAGCAGCTATACTTTTAATACAAGAAGTCTGGAAATTGACCTTGGGCCAGAAAATAACTATTTATTTTCCACACATGGTTTTCTCTGTCCTAGAACAAAAGGAGGGGTCACTGACTGTCCCCAAATCAAATGCATAAGTATCAAGTTCTCCTGCTGAGACAGGCTGATGTGAAACTGAAAACAACTACTGCCTTGAACACAGTTATGTTTCTCGAATCTGTACCAGAATGCCAAGAGGCCTTAAAACGTGACTGTCTCCTAACCATTGAGAAAGTTGACTTCAGCAGGGAAGACTTAAGGGACACTCCAAGAGAAGATCCAAACTGGGGACTATTCACAGATGGGAGCAGTTTTGTGTGCAAAGGAGAGCAGAAATCTAGGTATGCAGTAGTAACCCAAACGGAAGTAATTGAAGCTAACCCATTACCTGTTAACACCTCTGTACAAAAAGCTGAGCTCATCACTCTGCAGCAAGCCCTAGAATTGTCTGAAGGTAAGAACAACATATGGACTGATTCTAAATATATATTTGGAATAGTACACACCATGGAGCTATCTCAAAAGAAAGAGGGTTCCTTTCAGCACAAGGATCTCCTATCGAGTATGGAGATGTCATTAAACAATCACTGGAGAGTGTTCAGTTACCAATCAAAGTGGATATTATGCACTGTAAAGGTCATCAGTTTGGAAACACACCAACTAACGTTGGAAATTGACAAGTAGATAAAACTGCTACAAAGGTGGCACAGAAAAGCATCCTAGTAGTTACTCCATTAAAATGTGTGAACCTTTCAGATGTAACCCCAGAGTACCAGGCCCAGAACAAAAAGCTAGCTAAAACTTTAAAAGCCCATCTAAATTATGAAGGATGGTGGGTAACTCCAAATAGAAAATCACAGTACCTCAAGCAGTGATGAGACAAATAGCAGAAGATAAGTAAATAGAAACACAATGGGAAACAGAAGCTATTATAAATAGCTTGGATCATCAAGTACTTTGTGTAAAAATGACAAGAGTTTTCCAAAGCAAAATATTCAACAGCAAAAGGAGGGGCAAGGAAAACCTCCATTCTTTGTTGGACATGGCGGGGAACACAGTCACCAAAGATGAGGAAAAGGCTGAGGTACTTAACACCTTCTTTGCCTCAGTTTTCAACAGAAAGACAGTTTGTACTGAAGACAACTGGCTTCTGGAACTGGTAGACAGAGACAGGAAGCTGAATAGCCCCCCTGTAATCCAGGAGGAAACAGTTTGCGACCTGCTGAGCCACTTGGATCCTCACAAATCTATGGGACCAGATGAGATTCATCCTAGGGTGATGAGGGAGCTGGTGGAACAGCTTACCAAGCCACTCTCCATCATCTACCAACAGTCCTGGCTCACTGAGGAGGTCCCAGATGATTGGAAGTTGGTAAATGTCACGCCCATCCACAAAAAGGGCCAGAAGGAGGACCCAGGAAACTACAGGCCTGTCAGCCTGACCTCAGTGCCTGGCAGGGTTATGGAGCAGATCATCCTGAGTGCAATCACACAGCACCTACAGGATGGACAAGGGATCACACCTAGCCAGCACGGGTTTAGGGAGGGCAGGTCCTATCTGACCAACCTGATCTCCTTTTATGATCAGGTGACCCACCTGGTGGATGAGGGGAAGGTTGCTGATATGGTCTATCTGGACTTCAGCAAAGCCTTTGACACCGTCTTCCACAGCACACTCCTGGAAAAAGCTGGCAGCTCACGGCTTGGACAGGGGCACTCTGTGCTGGGTTAGGAGCTGGCTGGAGGGCCGGGCTCAGAGAGTGCTGGTGAACGGGGCTGCATCCAGTTGGCGGCCGGTCACTAGTGGTGTCCCCCAGGGATCAGTGCTGGGCCCAGTTCTGTTTAATATCTTTATTGATGGTCTGGATGAGAGGATTTGAGTCCATCATCAGCAAATTTACAGATGACACCAAGTTGGGGGGGAGTGTCGATCAGCTGGAAGGCAAGAGGGCTTTGCAGAGGGACCTGGACAGACTGGAGATATGGTCTGATTCCAATGGGATGAGGTTCAACAAGGCAAACTGCTGGGTCCTGCACTTTGGCCACAACAACCTCCTGCAGCGCGCTACAGGCTGGGCACAGAGTGGCTGGAGAGCAGCCAGGCAGAAAGAGACCTGGGAGTTCGGACTGACAGGAAGCTGAACATGAGCCAGCAGTGTGCCCAGGTGGCCAAGAAAGCCAATGGCATCCTGGCCTGGATCAGGAACAGTGTGGTCAGCAAGACCAGGGAAGTGATTCTTCCCCTGTCCTCAGTGCTGGTGAAGCTACACATGGAGTACTGTGTCCAGTTCTGGGCCCTTCAGTTCAGGAAGGATATTGAGGTGCTGGAGCAGGTCCAGAGAACAGCAACAAGGCTGGTGAAGGGACTCAAGCACAAGTCCTATGCGGAGAGGCTGAGGGAGCTGGGGTTGTTTAGCCTGGAGAAGAGGAGGCTCAGGGAGACCTCATCACATGGAGTGAAGAGCTGCTCAAACAGAAGTGGAAAGGACCATTTCAAGTTCTCCGGACTACTCATACAGTCATGAAAACAACAGATGGAGACTCTTGGATTCACTATATGCAAATCAATCCAGCCTCTGACCCAGAAGGACCACACTGGACAGTACAGCAAACAGCAAATCCACTGCAGAAAAAAAAAACTGCAATGGAAGCAGAGACTCTAAACGAGAGATGTTAAATGGCCTATTCTGTGTTTTCAGAGCAATGTTTCCAGTATTGCAGCATGGTTATTTGCACCTGGACTAGTTCACCATCCTAGCAAGATCTCACAATTAACAAGTAAGTATGGCTACAAGTGCCTGTGGGGTAAGTGGGAAAGACAGTAACATCCTCTTCCCTGAAGACCTCTCTAGCATGACACAAATAGAACAAATATTACTGGACCCTTGGAAGAAATATTCACACCTAAAACTAATGCGGGCTTTGACACTGACAACAAATAGCAGTAACTGTTGGATTTTTTCTCAATTTCCCACTCATTCAGATG